GCTAGATAAGATTTTAACAACTCTGAGCTATTAGTTAAGTTCTCCCCAAGCGAGCTCGATGGGCCGAATGGCCTCCTCTCGTTTGTATATTTCTTATGTTCTTATGTTCTTATAATAAGCTCTGTGTGCTGTAGGTATTATTACAGTTTTGCTCTATGCTGTGAATGCCTAGGACAGGGTTCCCCAGTTCCGGTCCTGGAGGGTTAGTCTAACACAGTTTGCAGGTTTCCTTGCTCAGACACACTTACTAAATGGGGCACTTGGCTGCTGAGCTGAATAAGGTGTGTTGGAGCAGGGAAACCTGCAAATTGTGTCACTAACTGGCTCTCCAGGACTGGAACTGGAGAACTCTGCCCTAGGATATAGAAACTTTTACTTCATTTAATTAGTAAAACTTCAACTGTTCCCAGTGCAATTCTTACTTATGAGCATAGACATTCGTACCCAGACCTAAGCTGGTTTCTTTGCTAAAATGAAAGGGATGGAAGGAAAACTGGTCAAATTACAAAGTTTTGCTAGGGCTTACACTATATGGACAAAACCTGGGACACCTGGAACTTTTACGATATTGGCTGTTTTTTCACCAAAGCTGGTTGCTCTTTCCAGTTTCAAAAACTGCCAGTCTTCTGGGAAGGCTTTCCATAAGATTTTGGAGTGTGTCTGTGGGAATTTTTGCCCATTCATCCAAAAGAGCAAGAAGTGACCCCTAGTGGCCACCCAGCAGCAAAAACTGAGTTTTAATTTTCTCACTGCACAGCACAATATTGATGACATTTAGCTTCAGGCAGTGGGCCAGTGTACAGCAGGAAATGGTGTGATTGTTTCCAGGAATAATGCTGAACTGCAACAAAACCCCTGTGTTTCAACCCCTAACAGCTCCTGCATTCATTTTTTAATTTTCATAAAGAAAATGCTGCGTTTCCTCCATACCGTATTGATGTCCACCTGTAGCTGCTCAGGAACTAAAATTGTTCTCTCTGCATTAGCCTGATTACATTAACTTGCAGGGCTGCCTGCTTAGTGCTGATCACTGATATTAACACTCTTTGTCACTAACTGCAATACAATCCCCTAAGACACTTACTTATGACATCAGCTGGGCTTGATTCCATACTTTGTCCGGCTTGCCCCTTCATAGCAGGAAGAACATGTCAGGATAATCAACAAAACTAATTAATTCAGAAAAGTAAATGAAAATGTGAACACATTAAGGAAGTAACAGGCATAAAATCAACACTGTAAATGACATGCAAGTATAGTGGAGCCTCGGTTCTCAAAAGTCTCACACCTCGTACAATTCAGTTCTCGATCATATTGTTTGGTAAAAAAAAATAATGTCTCGGTTGTAGAACTTATTTTTGGTTCTCGACCAACCAACCCTTTCGTTATAAAACCTGTCTGACAAAGCACGTGTCTTTTTACACATAAACAAAGGAGAGAATGTGTGCGTATGATAATGATGGGAAGTTCTATTGAATTTACAGAATCAATTCTATTGAACTGTTTGTTTAAATCAATCGAACGATCAATTCAATGAGTCGTGGAGGGAGGGAGTACATCCTTTCATCCTTGCTGTTTCATCTGTAGTGTTTAAATCACTCCTAGACGGGTGATTTAAAGAACGATTCGATCACGTTTTGCATATGAGTCAGTCTACCACTGAAGCTCACATAGTGAACATCTTCGCTGAACTGTGCTGTGAATATTCTCATGGTAATTTTTTTTGCTTCTGTTGCTCTTATTTAATTTTAAAATAAGCCACCATGGGTCCTAAGGAAAGTTGTGAGAACCACAATACAGCTTAAAAACGTAATAATTGCAAAGTATGACAGAGGTGTCTGATCTCACTATAGAATGATGAAAATCAATGATTAGCATCATAATGAAACATAAAGAGGCCATCAAAGGAGCGGATGTTTCTAAAGGGGTGAAAGTGCTTATAAAACAAAGACCACAGGCAATTGAAGAGGTAGGAAAACTGTTGCTGGTTCGGATAGAAAAAAAAAAACAGTTAGCCGATGATAGCATCTCCACCTACTGTATGCCATTAGCTCTCCACAGTGCAGGTAAAGTGCAGTTAAATTTGTGTTTATGGGTTTTAAAGTTTTTATTTATGGTGTAGCATTAGGTATGTATTTATACAGGTTTAAATAGGTAGTCATTTGGGAGGATGGAATGGATTAATCCAATTTACACATGCGGGGATTGTGCCTGAACCTGCCCATTTTGCACAAACTATATAAAGTAGGGATGCTCCGATCAGGTTTTTTGCTGCCGATTCCAATACCGATCACCGATGAGTGCCGATCACTGCTGATCACCGATACTGATCACATTGATTTACTGCAAATTTTTCAATTTAGTTATGATGAGTGCTACTGGCTACATGATCTGGAAGAAAGAAACCATAAAATCACCTTAATTTAGACAAAAACATGTTTTTACTTACTTTTTCAAGAGAAAACTTGCAGGCACAATGCAGCAACTATTCAGTCCAAAGGACAGCTGAAAATCACTTAAATTTACCTGCTATCAATAACACCATCTTTAACAGATCGAAAATATTAAGGCTCTCAACAGGCTAAATAGTGCTGAAAGTCAAATAAATCTCACAACATTGCCTAAATCAAATAATCTCAAGTAAAAAGTCAAATGCAGGTTGCATTCAAATAAACAATTGTCATGGATCAACCCCGGGGATCCCCAACTGACGTCAGGAAGACCACGTCTCCGGGGATTCCTTGATCCTCCTTTCTCCGTTTTAACAAGCTGTCAGCATCACGCAACTATACCGGGTTGTCCGGTTTCTCCGGTTTTAGTGCAACCACCTACCGCAAGCTGTTGCAGGTTATTCCTAATTTAGGGAGACTATTTTAGCCGTCGAATCTTGCACCCTGATCGATGCGAGATCTTCTAGAGTTTTCTCTGAGTTCGAGCGTTTTCCGATTTCTGCTTCTCCGAGTTCTCTGACCGTTGTTCTGCCTTTTTGACCCCGAGTTTCTGTTCAGCCCCTTTGATGCCTGACCCCCGCCTGTCCCCTGACTACGAGACTTGCCCAGCCCCAAGATCGACTCCGAACATCGCCCGACCCCAGCCTGACCCACGACAACGATCCAGTCCGCGTCTTTGGTTTATTTTGAGTGTTACATTCGCCAATAATTCAACCTGGACTACAGATTCGTTTGTATTAAAGTCACTTCGCATTTGGTTCCGCGACAGCGTCCTCTTTTCCCCTACTAAACCCTTACAAACTGTTATGCAGAACTAGCCTACTATCACTGACTGGTGAGAGAGGTGTGGCCGCTGTGGTGCATCCAATGAGAACGCAAAAAATATGTTCTCCGGAACTTTTAATAAAGGGCTCGAAACAAGGCTCTGTACTTGTATGCTTGTGCGTGTTTGTGTGTGTGTGTGTGTGTGGTTCTGAAAGTAGAAATACGAAAAAGAGAATAAGGAATATAAATGTTACATGTGCAGATTCCAGTGTCAAATAAACAGTTCACAATATTACCTTCACCGTTATCTTACGGTAACTTTAAGCTGCCATCCCGCAAGTTTAATTAACAAGCATCGATAAATAATTCCCTATTGGTCACGTATCTCCGGTGAAGTCGTCCAATGACAGCAGGAACTGGGCGGGACTCGCAGGGTGCGAGCTGAGCAGAATAAGCGGACTAAACCCGCAGCCCTTCAGCACACAAACTATAATAAGTTACTAAATCAAAAATACCTGAGAGCATGAATTACCGTTTTGTGCATGAGCAAACTCTGAGGGGCATTGTCAAAGAGAAAAAAACCTGTTCTTAAAATTTATATTAAAAAATAATAATATAATGAGTCTGTTGCTTTGTATGCAAAATAAAAAAGCCCATTTGCTACTTTAAATAACAACATTAATATGATCTTAAAGACCTTGAAACAGAAAAACAGCTAAATTAAAGTGAAAAAGTGAAATTAAAGTGCATTTGCTTTGAACAGGGAAAAAATGTTGAACAGCATTTACACGTGCTAAATGCCTATGACTTGTTGATGAGCATTGTGGGAAGATTCTTTTTAATAAAGAGGAGCATCTCAGCTTTTCAGTCATGAGTCTATTCCTGTGTTCGTCCACAATGTTGGATGCAGCGCTGAATAAGCGCTCACTCTCCGCAAATATTTATGTCCCGGTAAAACGTAGCGGGGCTCCAAGTGAGAGAGCAGTAGGCGGAACCCTATGTCTTCCACCACTAAGAGAGGCTGGTCATCTAGCCCAATGAATTCAATTATTTTTCGGGTTATTTGCTTAGCCTTCTGACTGTCACGCTCATACAGACGAGTGTTGGCAAGTTAAGCTGCGCTAACTGCCGTCTGACTGTTGCTTCTGCGGGCGTATTCTTTTCATTCTCTGCAGTGAGCCTTGAAAACTCGCCATACTCGGTCAAGTGTTTGTTCTTCTAATGTCGTATTAAATTCGTTGTGTTGAAGTATTTTAATGAGCTTTCCTCGCAAGGTATTTTGTCGTTGCATGTGTTGCAGGATGCAAACTTTACATAACTCTTACAGACGGTGTAAAAGTTCCACACAGCAGACATGTTTGTTGATGATTTGCCATCGCACGCATGCGCAAAATGAGCTACAGGTGATCGACTTTCGTGATCGGCAGTGATCGGCAATGAAAGGCATTGATCGGAATACGCCGATCACATACTTTTTCACAGAAATCGGCCAATAATGATCGGTCGCCGATCGATCGGAACACCATTAATATAAAGTATTTACACAATTACAATTAATATACTAACATTTATTTTTGAGGTTCTCTGGTTTTCTTACAATTTCCACAGAAATCAGGATGCAAACTTGTGCGTGAGCTTTAAAGGTACTGATGCCCCTTTTTTATCTTTCAGCACCTGCTGCTCACAAAAGTCTCTGCATGGTCCTGCTTATTTTTGTGGACGATGTTAAGACAAGATAAGTGATTCAGACACTATTCTGACACTAGAGGTGAGATGGCAGATAACATGCAAGTTATGATAGTCTGGGTCTAATCCACGAAATGTCTATGAACTTAACTGTTTTTAGGCAAATTACAGTTAAAAAAAAGTTATGCCCACAATAAAGTGTTTTGTTACTTAAAGTGGTTTACCTGTAAAGATTCATTGATGAGGCCCATGATGTGACTTCGAAGTTGATAATTACGTTCACCTGGCAGGAGTTTATTAAGGTCCTCCGTTGTTGATCTCAGAATATCTGGATCATAGGGAACAGTCTCTGAAGGGGAAAAATAAAATCCACAGTTTAAAAACACAACACATGTATCTCTGTAGCTGGTCTAATGTTGTCACAAATTTCATCAACCATCTACTATGACTGCTTCATAGACAGACTCTTATTAAGAGACCATAGCAAGGACACAATAGTGAGAAAGATGGACCCTGCTGGTCCCAAGTCCATTTCCTGTCTCTACTCCACCCCCTGCTGACCATAAAGAATAGTGTGTGTCTGTATTTTTAAATTCAGTCTGTTTAAAATGGTATATATGATGCACCTGAACCTGTGTAGAGCCCATCATGTCCATTGGCAGATTTATCACTTAGCTTCTGTGCAGCTTCTTCTGAAATGTGATCAAACAGATTCTGCATATTCATCTGTTAAACTGAAAGTGAAGCCATTCGCCACGTTCCAGTGTTATATGGTAAAGTTTTCATAGCCTTTAGTTCTTCAAGTTGTCATGACATCATGCAGGGAGTTTTAGAACAAAATATAGATGGTTGTGTATTTCTGAGATATTATTAGTATGTAGTTTCGAATCATTCCTGTACAGTTGATTCAGGAGATTTGACCTAATGCATTTTACACTATTACTATGTATTGTATATTACTACTACTACTAAGTCCTGTCATTCCATTACGATTTAATGGTAGGGTCACTAGGGTGACTAGATAATCCATGTCAGAGTTAACACTTTGAGCTAGAATGGGATTTGTAAACTGCCATTTCATTTCAAAGGACATGGATTTCACTTAAGTACTGACTTCTTGCTGTGTGTTGATTGGTCAATCTCCTATAATTATCCATGCATCACGGATGTTAATGTTAAACAGCTGGATGAGTTTTTTAATCAACCAAACAAACCAGTCAATGAACAAAAAGAACTCAACCATTTAGCCAAGATGTGGAGCCTTTTAGTTTTAAAGCAGTTTGTAAAACTTGAAATAGCTCAAATGTCCCCCATGATATGGATTATCTGGTTGCCATATCGGCCAGTACATACACTTGACGCTTGCAACATGTACGCTTATGTAAGCGGTGCTGCTGCTCATACTTCCGCGTGTTGTTGACGTCAATATGGAGGATTATAAGTGATGTCCTCCAGGGGGCAGTGTAAGAAATCATCTTGGTTGGCTCTTTCATTAATTTCCGTTCATACTTGTTTTTATGAGTTTGAAGAGTGAAATGTTTCACACTCGCTGCCTCCACAAACTATCAAAGATAAATGTCAATGACATTTATTGTATTTGCAAAAAAAAACAAGCAAAACACCATGGCCCCTATTTTCCACTGGCACAAAGTGATTTTGCTAGTTTCATACCAGCAAATTTCTCATTTTCGCGCCATGCGCACACATAGTTAAAATAAATGATTTTGCACCTGCTTTCCGCTCGTAGGAGTGATGTTTTTTAAATGAGGTGTGGCCAGGCGCATTGTCAGCTCCTTGCTATTTTAAGGCAGTAAGTACAACTGGTCCGTTCATGTAATCTCTGTCTTCAGATCTGACCATTTTTTTCAGGGCTTTTTGAAGAGTTGATGGAATTTACTGCAGCGGCGATGTGTCGCTATTCAACACACTTTTTAAGATTCATCTTTATTATCATTGCACAAAGTACAAACACTCTGACAAAGAAATGCAGTTTGGCATCTAATCCAAAAGTGCAAAAAAAAAAAAAAAAGTGCTAGAAATAGCTGTGCAATATATATGTGTGATTAATACTGTAAATCATTAGAAATGTACTTGTAAAATATAACATATTGTCATGCCCCTTCCTCACACCTTAAAAATTCCTCTTCTTTTCTTTTTTATTTACAGTCAGACATTGCAACCAGAAAGGGTTGATTTGCATATGTGCATGCAGCTCAGGTGAATTTGACTATTTATGGCACCAAGGTTGGGGGGGTGTAGTGGTTAGCACTGTTGCCTCCCACCTCCAGGACCTGGGTTCAAATCTCAGCCATGGCTGTGTGTATCTAGAATTCACATGGTCTCCCTCTGCTGCCTTGGGGATTCCTTAGCATATTATCATTGTGGGCAGGGGTGTCTTAATGGTTAGGGAAGCACACTTGTAATTGAAAGATTGCTGGTTCAAATCCCTAACCAGCAAGGCACCACTGAGGTACTCTGAGCAAGGTACCACTCCACAGGCACTGAAAAAGCTACCCCTTGCTATGTCATGATATCACATATGGGCTAAATACAGAGGACACATTTCATTGTTGTGTGCTGTGTCAACAATGACCACTGGTCAGTTAATTTTAATTCAACTGGGCAGGATCTCAGGCTCGTGCATAAACACACATTTACAAGACAGATCCGACATTTCCCAGGGAGATATATATCCATCAGGTTTGATAAATCTGAATTTTTTTTGGGCATGCACATTTTTTTTTGACAATGAAATGTACAGTATGCAAGGTTTGATAAATAAGGCCCCAAGTCAGGTGATTCTGTGGCCCTAAGGACAGGTAGGGCTGCTCCGTCAACGGCCATCACAGCTGCGAAAAGGTCATAGGCCATTTCCATGACAACAAGAACACATAACATACATGGCAAGGAATACAGGCCCTGACAAATTACAAGACTGTCCTCACATACCATAGATTGTGATACCTCCCTCCCTGACAGGCTCAACCAGTTCTTCCCCCAGTCTGATGTGGCAAAGAACAAGGTAGAGAATACCACCCCTCCCACCAGTGAACAGACATTCCAGCTATCCACAGCATCAGGATCTCAGCATTTCTGTAAGTTCATGAGTCTCTGACAGACAATTTTAACACCTTACTTAGTCAACGATTTTTCCATGTGTGCCTCAGAATTACCACAATCATAAATCAAGGTCCATATGTTTAATGCTTTACCCATATCATTTTTATAAGCATTTATATTATTATATCACGTTGGATTGTATTACTTTTCATTTGCACTACGATGAATAAGAACAACATTTCAGCTCAGTATGACTCCATGGATCATTTATCTGAAGCTGATAATAAGAGTCATTTTGACTTGACTCTAATAATTATGTAGGAAGGGAGGGAAGAGAATCTGTTTAAACCAGAAATTTTGCAAGGAGATGGATAAAAGGGATTCCACTAGAGCAGGGGTGGCCAATCTTATCAGCAAAGGGCCGGTGTGTGTGTGGATTTTCGCTGCAACTCTAAATTATATTACTAATTAGAGGACTGATTGGCTGAAGAGTCCTCACACCTGGGTTTGAACAGCTGACCTAAATATTATCCCAAAAACCTGCATACACACCGGCCCTTTGTGGATAAGGTTGGCTCTACTGCAGCAGTGGCCAAAGAGAAGTGACCCCTAGTGGTCAGCCTACAGCAAGAATTGGACTTAAAACTCTTCTCACTGCACAAGACTGATTACATTAACCTGCAGGCAGTGGGTCATTGGACAGTACGGACTGTTATGATTGTTTCCAGGAATAATGCTGAACTGCAACAAATACCCAGCTGTGTTTCAACCCCTAACAGCCTCTGCATTCATTTTTGTAATTTTCAGAAATAAAATGCTGCGTTTCCTCCATACTGTACTATTGACTTCTATATGTAGCTGCTCAGGAGCTAAAACTGTTCTCTCTGCATTAGCCTGATCATATTAACCTGCAGGCTGGCCAGCTTAGTGCTGATCACTGATATTAACACTCTTTGCCACTTACTGCAATACAATCCCCTAAGACAACTGTTACACATCATGAAGTTGTAATATAACACATTTTCTTAGGCAACTTACTCATGACATCAGCTGGGATTGAATCCATACTTTGTCTGGCTTGTTCCTTCATAGCAGGAAGAATACATCAAATTAATCAAAGGAAAATTCACAAAATCAAATCTAAATGTCAATACATTTGAAAAGCAATAGATGCAAAATCAGAATAAACTAGAATAAAATATAAATAGAATAAAAAATATAAATAGAATAAAACCTTGTGGCTTTATTACAATAATCGTTTAGCATCTGCTGTTCAAAAGGTCTCTGCATGGTCCAGTTTATTTTTGTAGATGGTGTTAAGACTGATGAGATAAATGATTCAGTAATTCAGACACTAGAGATGAGATGGCAAGTTCATATAGTCTGCTGGGTCTAGTCCGCAAATTTTTTTTAAGCAAATTACAGTAAAATATGCCTACAATACAATGTTTTCTTACTTAAAGTGGTTTACCTGTAAAAACACATCGATGAGACCCATGATGTGACTTCGAAGTTGAGAATTACTTTCACCTGGCAGGAGTTTATTAAGGTTCTCTCTTGTTGATGCCAGAATATCTGGATCATAGGAAACTGCTTCTGAAGCGGAAAAATGACCTGAAGTTCAAAAACACAATCAATACATGTATCTCTGTAGCTGGTGTACTATCAGATTGCGTTAACAGCAACTGAATTGTCACAAATTTCATCCATCAGCCATATACTATGACTGCTTCAGCAATAGATACTGCAGGAAAAATGAGGGACAAAGCAGGAAACTCAATGGGCAGGATGCCAATCCGTTACAGGGGACAGTGACACAAGCATGTAGCTACAAACGTAAGGCATTAAATACCCCTTAGCAGACTCTTATTCAGACAGTGTTAGCAAAGACACAACAGCAAGAAAGATGGACCCTGCTGGCATATTCACACGTGGTATATACCATTAATCCCCAAGTTGTGCAATTAAAAAAAATTACATCCCATAACATCCCTACTTACAATTTAATACCCCCTGTTTTCTTATTTCTATCTGTTCTTTGAGCCTTTTTGAAGGCATTGAAATTCAGCTTGTACTTGATTGCAAGTAGTATCTTTGCTGGACATGAATAATCTGTACATCACAGGTTTAAGTTAAACCATTAAACAAATATTAAAATATGGGTCATTCTCACAATCATTGACATTTGTTTGAGGATGATATGACTCATGATCAGTTTTGTATCCAAAAGCACCAAGTGTGAACGTGAAATGGATTGAGACCACATACTGTAAAAGCTGAAGTGCACCAGAAAGTGTTCAATGTGAATACAAGGAGAACAAAGTTCTCTTTCTCTTTCCAGTCCATTAAAAGAGGACTAAGTTTGTTACAATAAAGAGAGCTACAGTATAGATGGAGAACACCCTAAGATGCATTTACCATTCATTTTAGTAGTTGGTGAAATGCACATGAATATATACACAAACATTTACAGTGCTGGACAGAATTATTCACACCTCTCAACTGTAAATATAGAATATCTTCTATATGCTAAATGCTAATTAACCAATTTAATCAGAATTTTTTATAAAATGTCCAAAGTTACCAAAGAACAACAACAAAAAGCTGTCATATAGCAAAATAAAAACACAAAGGCATAAAATGTAGGCTGGACACAATTATTGCCCCCCTTCACTAATATGTGGTTGCAGAACCTTTGGCAACAATGACAGCATCTGGGAGTTTCTGCCACTCCTTCCATTGCTATGTGCTCAGGCTCTTTAAAGTTTGCAGGAGTCCCTTTGCGATGGCAGTTTTCAATTCTCTCCAATGGTTTTAACTGGGATTTAGGTCAGCACTCATCACTGGCCAGTTTAAAACAGTCCATCTTTTCCACCATTTTCAACCACTCTCTTGTACTGTTTGATGTACGCTGTGGGTCACTGTCCTGCTGAAAGACCAAAGACTTTCACTTGAAGCCTAGTTTTTGGACACTGGCTAACCCATTTCGCTCTAAAATGCCTTGGTAATCCCCTTCACTCATTGGGTTTCTTCTTAGAACCACATGCTGAAAGTGTCTTAACAGCTTTGTAACAAATTTCTTAAACATTATACAAACTGTTGAAACAGTAGTACTGGGACACGCTTCTTGCTCATTGAATTCAGGTGTTTCATTCAGACCCATTGCAACAGGTGCATAAAATCAAGCACCCAGCCATGCAGTCAAGTTTACAAACATTTGGATCATTCAGGAGAGCTCAGCGAATTCTAGAGTCATACTGTACTGGGATGTCACCTTTGCAATAAGTCAGTTTGTAAAATTTATTTTCTGCTAGATATTCCACAGTCAACTGTTAGTGGTATTATTGCAAAGTAGAAGTGTTTGGAAATGACAGAATCTCAGTCACAAAGTGACAGACCACATACAGTAATGGAGCGAGTTTGCCGAGTGCTGAGGCGCATAGTGCATAAAAGTCACCAAAGTTCTGTTGATTCGATAACCGCAGAGTTACAAACTTCCTCTGGGTTTAACCCCAACACAAAAACTGTAGACAGGCACTTCATGGAATGGGCTTCCTTGGCCAAGCAGCAGCATGGAAGTATCACATCACCAAGCACAATGCCAAGTGTCAGATGGAGTGATGTAAAGCACGCTGCCACTGGACTCTGGAGCAGTGGAAATGTGTTCCGTGGAGTGATGAATCACGCTTCTCTGTCAGGAAGTCTGATGGACTAGTCTGGTTTGGTGGATGCCACATTACCAGCCTGACTGCACTGTGCCAACTATAAAGTTTGGTGTAGGAGGGATAATGGTATGGGGTTTGTATTTGTAGTTCCAATGAAGGGAATTCTTCATGCTTCAGACATTATGGACATTCTATACTTCCAACTTTGTGGAAACAGTTTGGGGAAGGCCCTTTTCTGTTCCAGCATGACTGTGCCCCAGTGCACAAAGAAAATCTGTAAAGACATGGCTGTGTGAGTTTGTTGTGGGAGAACGTGACTGGCCCACACAGAGCCCTGACCTCAACCCCCTCTCCCCTCCCCCAAACATCTTTGGGATGAATTAGAACAGAGACTGCAAGCCAGGCCTTCATGTCCAACATCAGTGGCTGACCTCACAAATGTTCTTCTGGATGAATCCTATAGATACACTACAAAATCCTGTGAAAAGCCTCCTCAGAAAAGTACGAGCTCGTATAGCGTCAAAGGGGGACCAACTCTATACTGATGCCTATGGATTTAGAATGAAATGTCATAAAAGTTCCTGTAGGTGCAGTGGCCAGGTGTCCCAATACTTTCATCCATATAGTTTACCTGTATATAAAAGGATGCCACTGTATCCAAAGAGCAGTGATCCCTAGTGGCCACCTGACAGGAACTGAAACTGTCCAGCAGAATGTGCGATTGTTTCCAGAAATAATACAGTACTACAACAAATACCCCTGTGGTTCAACCCCTAACAGCCTCTGCATTCATTTTTTAATTTTCATAAATAAAACACTATGTTTCCTCCATACTGTAGCATTGACTTCCACCTGTAGCTGCTCAGGAGCTAAAACTGTTCTCTCTGCATTAACCTGATCACATTAACCTGCAGGGCTGCCTGCTTAGTGCTGATCACTGATATTAACACTCTTTGTCACTTACTGCAATACAATCCCCTAAGACATCTGTTAGGCATCATGGAGTTGTAATATAACACATTTTCTTAGGCAACTTACTCATGATTTCAGCTGGGACTGACTCCATACTTTGTCCATCTTGTTCCTTTGTAGCAGGAAGAATACATCAAATTAATCAAAGCAAAATTCACAAAATCAAATCTAAATGTCAATACATTAGAAAAGTAATAGATACAAAATCAGAATAAACTAAATGCAAGTACTACATCTCAGGCACATGTGGGGGTGGGGGGTGTCTGAGCCTGCCCCTCTTACACAAATCATTTTAATTATTCATACAATTACACTTACTATACTCATATTTATTATTGGAGTTTTGTGGCCTTATTACAATAATCATGGGGTACTGGTCCAGTTTATTTTTATGGGTGGGGTTGAGACTGACGAGGTAAACAATTCAATAATTCTTACACTAGAGGTGAGATGACAGATAACGGGCAAGTTCTGATAGTTGAAGGGTCTAGTCTACGAAATGTCTATGATTTTAACTGCTTTTAAATTACAGTAAAAACATCCCTACAATAAAATGTTTTGTTACTTAATGTGGTTTACCTGTAAAAATGCGTTGATGAGATCCATGATCTGTGTCCGAATTTGCAAATTACATTCACCTGGCAGGAGTTCATTAAGGTCCTTCATTTTTAATGAGGGAATACCATGATCATTAGCAGTCTCTGAAGGTGAAAAAAACAATCTGCAGTTCAAAAACACAACATATAGTATGTATTTCTGAAGCTGGTCTTATATAAGACCGTGTTAACAGCAATTGAATTGTCACAAATTTCAGCCATCAGCCATCTACTGTGAAAAATGAGGGACAAGGCAGGGAATTCAATGGGCAGGATGCCAGTTCATTACAGGGGACACTAATATTTGGCTGTAAATGTTAATAATAAAAATAACTAATTTCGTATTTTTCTATATCAATATTTACAGTATTCACCTTATTGGTAGACATCTCCAAACATTTGAGTATGATCTCTTGCCATTTCTAGAGCCACTTTCCATAATAAATCAATAGGTGGTGTATGTAATACAAACCGTATAGCAATCAATCTCTCCAACCACAAACCCAACCCCACAATGCCCAAAGGTTTCATAGCACTTTTATACAAGTTTGGAAGAGCCGACAGGATTCTAAACCTCTGACACATCTAGATGAGTCGGACATCATAGATCAGTGGTTCCCAAACTTTTTCCAGCCACATACCCCTTGAGACATGTCAGCCTCAACCGCATACCCCCTGCTACCAACGACTCTTAATTAGTGTCTATAAACAGATTGCAATACCGCATGCATAAAAATAAATACTGAACAGTCAATTATTTCTCACCACCAAATGAATTTATCAATATATCTTAGTAATGACACAATTTTAATCACAAACTTTATTACTTAATACTAGCAGTGTATCAAAAGATTTATTAGAATTAACCATTTTGTCGAGAACATAAAGACCAGATGTGAACTTTCATTAAACAAAACTATTTAATGTGATGGATATGCTTGGGCAGAGGTACACAGCTCTTCAATGTTTGGCTCAATTTGGGAAAGGCTGAGTCTTAAATTGTTTTCCACACAAAGTCTTGCTCTGTATTTTGTTTTCATGTTTGTTAAAGCAGAAAATCCACTTTGCATAAGTATGTGGTGGCGAAAGGCATCAGAGTCTTGACAGCGTGCTTAGCCAACGCATTCTGTTCAGTGCGCAGCCTTATCCAGAAATCCGCCAGGGTCTTTTGAGCATATTCAACTTTTAGAGATCCGTCTGTGGTGATCTCAATTAGGCTCTCCTGGTCAGAGGTTTATTTTTCAAATGGGGATGATTTGTCTCTAAATGTCTGTGCAATAGTGAAGGTTTCATTGAGTTGTGAGACAATACTTTTGCACAATTAACACATTGTGGCCGGGAAAAACCACCAATATTTATACATGTGAACCCCAGAGAAATATAACTGTCATCGTATTTGCGCCTCTTTGATGAGGTTGTGTTACAGTCCGAGGTGACATGCTTTTCACATTGTTGTTGAACAATCACCTGTGCGGTCACTGGCAAATGCACCTTCAGATATGAGCTGATTGGTGGTAGTGGCCGGTGTCTCGGTGGTAAGGCGTTTTTTTCTTGTTAACCATTTGTCCATTTCGGCGCTGCACTGAATGCTTGGAGGCAACTTCGACAGTCACGCCCGTGTATTTTGTCAGTGCAATTTTTAGCTGAACACCAGAGGGTGGTATATACACATGTATTTAATAGCCACATCAAACTGTATTAGTGCAAATTTAGGCTCTTTGAATTTGTGATTTCCCCCCCCTCACGTACCCCCTACAGCCTCTTGCGTACCCCCGAAGGTACGTGTACCCTAGTTTGGGAACCACTGTCATAGATCACATGATATTGCGTAACCAAAGCAAGGTCCGACTCACAGCTTCTTTTGATTTTCTTTGGCGAGTAAAAATTGACTTGGGTGGGTAGTGAAATTTTTGGCTACTTGAGTGTATATCTGGCAGGTTTAAATTTTTATTTTTATTAAATTTTTATCGCCTGCCATACATCACTTAGGCTGGATTGCACCAACATGGTTTAACTTTTAAACTGGATTAAATCAAGATATTTCTACTAATCCTGTTACACTAAACTGTAAACCTAGTTTAAATTTAGTTTACAATTAATCCTGGTTAAATCTAAGACTTTGGTAATCTCAGATTAATTTCCAATGAAACCTAGATTAAATTTAAGTCTGTGAATTTAAACCTAATATAAAGCTCGATTAGCAGTCATATTTAAACCACCCAATGTCAGGTCTGTTTCAGTTATATTGACAACATGGCTACATTTCTTTGCTGGATGGGATTGGGGGAAAGAATTCAAGGCAGGTTTAACCCAACTGAATTTTTTAAAGTAACAATGAGTTTTCCCAGTGGTATTGATTTACAAACGAATGTGTCATATTTCATTGAGAAGGTTGGACCAGCTATAATGCATGGAAGTGAGAGAAACTCTGCTGTACCTCCACTTCTCCAGGTCCTAGTAGCTTTGTGATTTTATGCTACTGGGAGTGATCAGATGATTGATAGGGATCTTTCTGTAGTTCACAAGACCACAGTCTGCAGAAATAGGCCCATTCACACAGCCATAGCTTGCTGATTGGTTGACCACAAACACTGGCACTAACATGGAAGTTCCGCGGAAATGCAGAAAAAGAGATGTATCGGAGCACACAGATGGAATTATTTTTGTACCCCAATTACATTTAATAGATCAATGAATAAATTTTTTGCTTACGTCTCCATTTCTCCGTTTCACGTTATTGGGAATGAATGCAAGGTTCCTGTTCATGTGCAAGTGCCCTCTGCATGTTTTACATACTGTAATTATTTTAACTTTAATTTTATTTGTATTTCCTAGTGTTGTCTCCAGAGTTATGATTGGAAATAACTTTTTGTTCTTTTAAAATCAACATTCACAAATTATATAGGTGGTAAAAATTGAAGGTATTTCTGAGCTGCAATACATATAGCCAATGTTGCGACTATTTTCCACAACTGCTGGTTTTTATTTTTGATTTAGTATTTCAAAGGAGATGCATGTAAGCTAAATAGAGCTATCGACAAAGGATATATTCATGGATGGAAATGCTGATTTCAAATAAATAAATGTTTTAAAACAACATGATAGCTATTCTTTTCAGTATTCTTATCTTACTTTCTGATACACAGTTGTTTATTTGGCCAGTTTTGTGATGTACAGTACTTACATTTACAATTAGGAATGTCGAATATAATGTGAAAACAACATTAGAAGTGTGTAATGGTGTCATGGTGAAAAGACAACATGTTATGAATGATTTGTTGCATTTTCACACGTCACGCGTCTCAGAATCTAACGTTTGATGTCAGAAGAAGTCAACCCCTTTGCCAGAGCTGACCTGTACATCCCAGGATTATCATTTCTCTTCTCCATTGGCTATTTCTATGGTAAAAGTGCATTGCGCAAGAGGTCCAAAGAATCAGTACTTTAGCTAAATAGAATTTAAAAACAGTAAAGGAAAGTATTTGTCTTTGTTTTATTTAAATTGGTTTAGGAAGTAACATTTAGTTATAGTTTTTAATTTATTTTCATATGTTATTTTATTTCATTTTATGGAAATGTTTAACGATAATATCCCCTACCTTGTGTACTGTATGTACATATTGCATTGTTAGTTTTGTAAAAATTCTTATTTATTCTCATACCATCCATACCACCCTTTATAAACATGACAGCTTTGCACTACAGTGCTGCCCCGGGCCTGATGTGGAAGTGCACGGTTACCTGGTGGTCTGGCACCAGAGGGGGAAGCAGGGCCTCACCCATGCTGTTTACAGCAGGGAGAGAGAAGTGGGGATATGGTCATGGTGGAAGGTATATTTTGAAGATGTCCAGAATCCCATTGATACACCTATTTGTTGATGCATTATGGAAAAATGCTTACGGCCTGTCAAACTTGGCTTAAAAATATATGAATCTCACAGTACATTTTCTTTAAAATAGTACAGTAAATGTTGAGCAAAATTTAACTGGAATAGCCTTGGATCTTGCCTTTCAGAAGCTAGAAGACATGTTTATACAATATGGGAAAATTCTGAGAAATGATCTGTCAAACTTAACTATACAATAACCGATTTCAAAGTGCTTTTTCTTGAAAATGGTGCAATAAAAGTTGAACACATTTTGTCTGGACATAGCTTTGGACGTTGCCTTTCAGATGCTATATCACTTGTTTATACATTATGAGAACATAAGAAATGAATTGTACTTAAGTACATCCTGTAATTTGTACATACTGTATTAGTATTCACCCGTTTCTTCCTAAACGCGAGCAGATACCGTAATGCTATGTCTATGCGTGCACCACACATTTTAAGCGAGGATAGCGTGACCGCAGTTTCAGTTTGACGAGGCGCGCTCCGAAGTCTGGTATTATATGTCTCATCGCTACTGTTTATTAATAAACCGCCCCCCCCTGTCTCGGAGTCGCAAGTAGATCGTCACCTTCTTTTCCTCTGCACCATGCTAGTCCGTGACTATAAGTATAAGTAAGTATAAGTTTAAACAAAGTGGCGAGGACACAATAGGTCAGGCACCGCGGTAGATCAGACCTGCTGGTCCCAAATCCATTTCCACGCCCTGCTGACCATACAGAATAGTTCTTTAGAAAACTAACAGATATGATATATCCGTACAAATAGACAACTTGCCTAGAGCCCACCATATACCGCTTCAGACTTACCACGTAGTGTGTGCGCAGCTTCCTCAGAAATTAACTTGATCTTTTCCAACAGATTCGCTATCTGATCCATCTGTTAAATTGAAAGTGAAACCATTCGCCACGTTCCACGGTTATATGGTAAGTTTTCGTAGCCTTTACTTCTTGAAATTGTCATGACACATTAAAGGTAATTTTAGAACAAAATTGTTGAGTTTCTGTGATATTATTTCTACGTAGCTTCAAATCATTCCTGTCCAGCTATAGTTCGGGAGATTCGTCATAGTGTATTTTACATTCTTACAACAGAATCACTTTTAAAACCTGTCATTCTGTTACGATTTAATGACATTTAAGTACAAAACGATAAATCTGCACTGTTAACTTACAATAGCCTAATACTATTTTTTTAAAAATATATAGTCCATGACGGGCGATGTTTACCCGGCTGTTCATGATTATCGATGTTTTATTTGCTCCTTCTCTCGTCGCAACAAATCGAAGAACTGTTTCCTTGTTCCCTTGTGCTTCAAATGGGACGTTTTTTATATAGCCCTGATGACACTGTATGACCAAAAGCGAAAGTTAAATGGTAGACGGAAGGTCCTTATGAACGGTACGGCTGTCACGTGTCAGAGCAAATTCCGGTCTCCTGAACAGGCGCTGTCATCTGGCAGGCCAGTGGAAGGATACCTGCTGGCTACCTCTTCCGGAAGTGCTGTGCATCTTTGATTCCCCAATTACAAGAGTTTATGTGTGATTGTTTTTGTTCATGCTATAATTTTGCCATACAGTGAATATATTGCTAAATGTATATGCATAGACTGACGAAGATAACTGTTTTTCGGCTTCAATAAAATGTACATTTTTAATATTTCATATTTCATGTTTCTGTGGCTATCTCTGCTGTTACAAGTGTAATAAATGCTCGTTAACAGAGAATTATTGAATGATGGAGCAACATCTTTACATTTTTTATATATCAGCAATGAACATTAACACTTTCCTATATAGGAGTTTCAAGGAAATTAGAACAAGACTTCTTGGGTAAATATACAGTCAAAATATTTTTTAAAAGATGGATTTTCAGCTCCAAAGCTATATTTATCAGGATCTGTGGGACTCCGTTTTTATGCAGCATAAAATAACTTCCAGATGTGATACAACTTTATTCAATTCAATTCTGTTTATTTTTATATAGCGCCTTTCACAACAAAGTCGTCTCAAGGCGCTTCACATGGATGTGTTGTGATATATTACAAGATCATTAGAAAAAGTAATACAAGGTGGGAAAAAGGAAGGAAAGAAATTAAATAAAGAAAGCCAGATGACAATGGAGGAGAGGAATCAAAAACTTCCGAGTAAGGAGGAAAAAAACCTCTGGGGGTCAAAGGTCAACTGGCTGCCCAACCCCCCTGGGCATACTGACATTACTGAAAACAGAAAAGAGTGGACTTGCTTGCTAAAAGCTAGGTGTAAGTTGTGATCAAGGATCAAGATAAAGTCCATGGGACTGAACCAGGAATCCAGCTCAGACGGCGCCCACCCTGGGCACCACCCGGACATGTGGGAAGGCAGAGAGCATGGCCACACCTTCACATCACTCCAGCCTCACTCCTCTGCCTCAGCTGCCAAGTTGGCATACTGCAGCTTTTTCCTTTCGTATGCCTCATTGATGGCATCCTCCCAAGGGACTGTCAGCTAATGAAACAATGGCAGGACTTGGACCAGAGGACCAGATTTGCATGGGTGCAGGTTGGTGACTGTGATGTCGGGTGGGAAAGTGAGTCTCTGATTCAGATCAACACACATTTCCCAATCCCTGGCTGTATTCAGCAGGAACGAGTCGGGAGGTGAAGGCTTGGTCCTCTGTTTTTCCCCTTCCCAGATGAAGGCTGTTAGTTGCGGGAAGGTGGTCTGGGCATTTGGGGGGATGGCGTTGGTTGACACTCCAGGCGGTGCACCTCCTCCACCACCAAATTCATTTGGTGTAGCCTTTTACCTTGTGGGTGTTGATGCTCTCAAATCAAGTCTTCTTCTGCCATGTTGGACTTTCCCCACAATGTCTCAGTGTTTGATGGCAGTGTTTTCGTCTGCTACTGCAGAAGCTGGATCCCATTTCCTCCCTGTCACTAAGGTTAGCACAACATCTCTTATGTAGGGGACTCTCTGAGTGTCACATCCATCCGTTTTTTGGCGCATTTATACTCCTCCACAAGGCCTGAAATAGGCAGGAACAGGGTTCCCATACAGCCCTATACTGCTGAGGCATCTTGGTAGCCCAAGCCACTTCCTCACTTGTGCGCTCACCAGTCTCTCCAGCCATTCAGCATGGGATAGTGTGACTTCATAGATGGTAAATGGCCACTTGAAACGGGGCAACAAACCAAATTGGAAGCACCACAGTTTCAACTTTCCAGGGAGAGCAGTGTTGTCAATTTTCTTGAGGCCACTGATTGTATCCAGTCTGAGTTGTTCCACCTGGTCTGAGTCTTTGAGGTGTACCAACGACCAAGGCTTTTGATGGGCTTCTGCAGGATTGTTGGTGTAATCTTGTGATTTATGAAGAACCTCTCGGTGAGCCGACCTTTGACAATGGAGATGCTGTAGGATTTGCTGGGTTTGATCTCCATTCGTGCCCATTGGACGTTTTCCTGAAGATTACCCAGCAGGCGTTTGGTGTATGCTTTTGTTGTTGTGATGGTCGTCATGTCATCCATGTATGCCCTGATTGGAGGAAGACGCAGCCCATATTCCAAACATTCCCCACCAAACACCCACCATGATACTTGAATAATGAGCTCCATCGCCATGGTGAAGGCCAGGGGAGAGATATTGAAGGCCAGGCAGTGGTATTGTCCTGTGTTGTGATGCTGAACTGTATGTCCCAGAAGTAGGCTTGGACTAGCTTTGTTATTCCCTCTGGGACATGGAAGAAGTTGAAAGCTCATGTGGAACTGAGCCAAAGGCATTGGCAAGGTCTAGGAGAACCACATGCAGGTCTTTCTTTTATTTAATGTAAAACATTCAGCAACACCTAATTACATGAATACGTGTTGCAGTTTACCCTTAGGGTTTCCGGAATGTTTGCCTTAAACCCAGTCCAATGAAAAATAAGAAATTGGCGAGGTTTAATATTAGTGGTAGTATTAGTGGTACTTTATTGGTCCCGAAGGAAATTCCAAAAGTTACAGCAGTACACACAATACAAAGAATCCCAGAAAGTTCTATGGTCCAAACTTCAAAAATTTGTAACTAAAAATAGGATTAGTTAGGAGCTATAGGATTTTGCAAGGTACCATGAATTTAATGCAGGTTTTCACAAGACTTTTTAATTAAATCCATGGCATGACCTGTGAGCTCTTAGGTCAACTGATATGGAATGACCCTTACCTACTACAATAAAGGACAGAAATACAATAACTGATTAAAATCGTGTGTACACACTATTTAGTAATTGAAAAGTGATTCAATTAAAAGCAATTGTCTAATGTATACCTGCATTCCTTTAGAATGTGATTAAGGCAATAAAACTGTGAAAAGAAATGATATGTTGTTGATTTTACAAAGATATGCTAAATAGTATAGACAGATATCTTGGTACCCCTAAAGAAACTATTTATCCTTGCATTATATATTCAAATTAAGCATTTAACCCTAATTAATATCACAGGAGCCTTCAAGCTTTTCATCAGCCATTCAGCCTATTTAAAGGGAAAGAACATGCTACTGTGTTGTTTGGTATCATTGTGTGCATCACACTGATCATGGACCAGAGAAAGCAAAGGAGAGAGCTGTCTGAGGAGCTCAGAAAGAGGTTTATACATAAGCGTGTTAAAGGTAAAGGCTATAAGACCATCTCCAAGCTGCTTCATGTTCCTGTGACCACTGTTCATGGGACTGTAGCCCAGGACGTGGACGCAAGAGGAAATGCAACCCCAAGATCAGAAGAGGATGGTAGAAAAAGAGCCAAGAAAACCATCCAAAACCATTCAAGTTGAGGACAAGGTATGTCACTTTCTGATCCATCCTTTGCATTTTGAACAATAATGGGCTCCATGGAAGACCCAGGAGGGCTCCACTACTGACAGAAAAACATAAAAAAGACAGAATGGAATTTGCCAAAATGCATGTTGACAAGCCCCAATGTTTCTGGGAAATTGTCCTTTGGACTGATGAGACAAAACTGGAGCTTTTTAGCCAGTCACATCAGCTCTATGTTTACAGAATAAACAATGAAGCTTTAAAAGAAAAGAGCACTATGCCCACTGGGAAACATGTAGGGGGCTCAATTTTGTTTTGGGGCTGCTTTGCTGCATCTGGAAGGGGGAACCTTGAATCTGTGCAGGGCACAATGAAGTCTCAAGACTGCCAAGGAATCCTGGAGCAAAACATACTGCCCAGGGTCAGAAAGCTCAGCCTCAATCACAGGTCATGGGTCCTCCAACAGGATAATGACCCAAAACATACAGCTAAAAGTACTCAAGAATGGCTGAGAAAAAAACATTGGACTATTCTTAAATAGCCCTCCATGAGCCCAGATCTTAATCCTATTGAACATCTATGGAAAGATCTGAAAATTGCATTGTGGTGAGGCTACCCTTCAAATCTGAGACAGCTTGAGCAGTTTGCTCATGAAAAATAGGCCAAACTACCTGTTGGTAAATGTGGATGTCTCACTGAGAAGTACAGAGATCACTTGTTGGCAGTAATTGCTGCAAAAAGTGGTTAATTATAGAAAATATTCAACTTAATCAATAATCAAAAGCAAAGTCTGATTTGTGTTTAATTTGGAATAAACAATAAGGAATCCCATTGAACTTTTGTTAGTTTCAAGTTATTTCAGAGATAGTTCTGCACTTTTGTGGAAGGGTACCAACAAATTTGTCCACATCTGTATGTTTCATCACTAGTATTTCTTCAGTGTTGAGTTCACATCAGCGACCGCCTGCTCATTTTCCTGGCATTCCAGCAGCCCTCTAGTTTCATGGAAGGCACAGTGGACGACTTGCTCTATCTTGCTCTCGGACGGTTGCACTGTGATGTTGGCCATGTGACTGGGGTGGTGACAGTGGTGCATGAACACCAGGATGACAGGTTTGTCAACTGTGGAAGAAACCAGACAGGTTAATGTGGGCACTGATTGATACCCCCCATCATTTACTGCACATCCTAAATTGGGTGAGTATAATAAAGGGGTGAGGAGAAGAAAGTGAATTCTGCCATCCAATCATAGGTGTCCCATGACTCTGCTGTGCTTCCTAGGATAGACTCAAGGCTAAGGGTGGCCAATCTTATCCAGGACAGGCTGTTGGCCAGGGGTGGCCAATCTTATCCAGAAAGGGCCATTGGGTGTGCAGGTTTTCGCTACAGCTCCCTACTTAAATTACTAATTAGAGGACTGATTGGCTGAGTCCTCACACCTGGGTTTGAATAGCCAAACTAAAGGTTATCCCAAAAACCTGTATACACACTGGCCCATTGCGGATGCTCAGCTATTATGTCCTCACAAACAAAGAAGGTTATGTTGGCAGGTAGTTCTCCTTGCCCAGTCTTGCCCACGGTGGAAGACCCGCTCGTTCCGGTGTGGATGATGCCCCCTGATTCCCAGGTTGTCAGCAATGAGGTTAATGGTGTAACGATAAACCAGCCATCCCCCTCCAACTTGTATGAATTCATTGGTGGACGAGACTGTCCCAAGGGGGAGGGAGGCAATTTGGGGATGGATTTCTAGTTTGATGTTTGGTGAACAGTGTGCGTTGCCTGCTCATTCAGAACAGGGGAATGTGGAAGAATGGTACTGAGGTAGGAGGAATTATGGGATTAATGTTTCGT